AGAGTAAGCTAAGGTTTAGGGTTTAGGGTTTAGAGTTTTAGGGAGTAAGCTAAGGTCTAGGGTTTAGGGTTTTAGAGTAAGCTAAGGTTTAGGGTTTAGGGCTTCAGAGTAGGCTATAAGGTTTAGGGTTTAGGGTTTAGGCTTCAGAAACCGCACGGTTAAACTTTCTGTGTTGCCCCCGCACAGTAACAGCCTACAATAAGGCCGCCTTTTCGGGCCATATATCTCATATATATATATGTGTATGTATATATATATATACGGTTTAGGGTTTAGGGTTTAGGATACATTAAATCACAAACTATTACAAATATTTTTCCACTGTTGCTGAGTGGGGGCAGTATGCAAGTGAAACCAAAGCTCTACACCGTCAAAATTGGATGCCGACCCAAAATTGTTAACAAGCCCACCTTTCTACACCCTGAGCCATCTGAGCCCTAGTCACTGGACTCCGAATCGAACGCCCTGGACCCTGAACCCTAAACCATTTAACCCAACGTCTGAAATCCAGAACCCTACGCCCAAAACCGCCCAAATCCGAAATCCTGTCCCAACACCAGCCCTCAACCCCATGAAAAAGCTCGAAATCATGTTCGCCCTAGGAAAAACCTTGAGCCCGATGAAGTCATACCAAACCGTAGGGTTTAAAGTTTAGGGTTTAGCGTTGAGGGTTTAGGGTTGAGGGTTCAGGGCCCTAAACCCTAAACCCTAAATCTTAAACCCCAAACCCTACTTCCCTTTCTGACGTAGCTGCGTTGACTTGAGAAGCGGCTCTGCAATCCTCGGCGTTTGGTGGCTCTGAGGGTTTAGGGTTTACTTGGAGGTTCCTGGGTAGTTTTAGCTCCATAGTTTGCCCCCTAAACCCTGAACCCTACCCCCTAAACCTACCTGTTCTAAACCGCTTCAGCGCTTTGGGTTCTAGGTCGAGGCTCCGCAGTTTAAGGTTTCGGAGCCGGCGTTTGGTCATTTCCCAGGCGCCAAGGAGGAGACAAAGAACATGCCCACCCACAAACCCTAAACCCTGAACCCTAAAAACCTAAGCCCTATAAACCCTATAACCCTAATCCCTAAAACCCTAAACCCCTAGAAACCCTAAACCCTAAACCCTAAAACCCTAAACCCTAAACCCCTAAACCCTAAACCCCTAAACCCCAATCCTAAACCCCTAAAGCCCTAAACCCTAAACCCCTAAACCCTAAACCACTAAACCCCTAAAGCCCTAAACCCTAAAACCCTAAACCCTATAAAGAGGTCAACTGGCGCAGACGATGCACTCCAAGCGCAAAAGGGAACCCCCCGAAGAAGCTCAAGGTTTCGGGTTCAGGGCTTAGGGCTTAGGGTTTAGGGCTTTGGGTTTAGGGCTTAATTAAGGTCGAAGCGTGGACTGCTTGAAGATGCCCTTCCAAGCCAAAGCCAGCAACACCCTCCATCTTGGAGATTAAGCACGATTTAGGGTTCAGGGTAAGGTCCATGCAGGGCTTACGGTCTATACTCCAGCCGCATCCCTTCATCAAGATCCTTGACGGCGGCCCCCGGAAACGCTGGCATGGAAGCATGTACCGTCATTGCAAATGTAGCACTCAATATCATTTCTGCACCGACGACGACGACTACCGCTACTAGTGCTTTTTGTATGACGAGGAAGATAATGGTGATGATGCTTCAAGGACCCGGATAGGGTCAAGACATGCTGTTGCGGTCAGCATCATCACCATCACAGCCAGTAGCAGTGGGACTGCCATCATCCTGAGGTGTTGCTGATGTTATTTGGGTCTGTATGCTGATTGGCTTCTGTCGGTTCCAGCTGCAGCGAGGAACAGCTACGGAGTGTCAGCATCAAGTGCTACTACAATTGCTGAGATTCATGTTGCTGCTACTGCTGCTTATGTGTGCGGTCTTCGCTGGTACTATCGCTTATTCTCATCTTCATTATTGTTTCCCCCTAATAAATCCTAAGCCGTGCTACTGTTGCCTTCTCCTTCTTCTTTTCGTCTTGAGCCCCCTGGACCCACAACAAAAAGCATACTTTCAACAGCCCTACAGTTTATACGAAAGCAAAGGATCAACCCTCAATCCGAAACGCCGAGCCCTAAAATCAGAACCCTAAACCCTAAAAACCCTAAAAACCCTAAACCCTAAAAGCCCTAAACCATAAACCCTAAAACCCTAAAAAACTCTAAACCCATAAACCCTATAAGCCCTAAAAGCCCTAAACCCATACACCCCAAAACCCTAGAAGCCCTAAACCATAAACCCTAAACCCTAAAAGCCCTAAGCCCATATAGACCCTAAACCCTAAACACCCTAAACCCATAAACCCTAGACCCCAGAAAACCCTAAACCCTAAAAGCCCTAAAAATCCCTAAAAGCCCTGAACTCCAGCCATGGGTCTTCAAAATGAGCTTCATGGAGAAGCCAGAGAAAAGAGTGCATTGACCTTGGCGGGCTTCGGGTGTGGGGTTTGGGGTTTAGGGGTTTAGGGTTTAGGGTTTAGAGCCTATGGTTTAGGGCTTAAGGTTTAGGGCTTAGGGTTTGGAGTCTAGAGTGGGTTTATGGTTTATGGGTTTATGGGCTTAGAGTTCAGGGTTTTTGGAGTCTAGAGTCTGTAGGGTTTAGGGTTTTGGGCTTGTCGATGCTCAGGGCTTAGAGTCTCCTTCGGGGAGGGGGTTTTGGAAGTTCAGGGAGCAAGGGGTTTAGGGTTTAGGGGTTTGGGTTTGGGGTTTAGGTTTTGGGGTGAGGGTACTTGCGGGATTCCCGATGGAAGAAAACGCTGTGCATCGTGCTTGTGCGGTGTTGGTAGACGCTGAAGGTCGGGGAACACGGCTACATTTGACGAACACGGCTACATTTGACAACTGTACGTGTGCAAACGACACGAACCTGAACGGATGCCTTCCAAAAGGCATCGGTGCCACCACGCGTCAGGATTTCCTAAACCTTAAACCCTAAAAGCCCTAAACCCTAAACCGGAAGGGGGGGTGGACGGCAGGAAAAGCATTGCAAGATGGGCCCCGGCATACCCTCCGCAAGCCGCTATTCAGGGGTGAGGAGGGTTTAGGGGTTTAGGGTTTAGGGCTTACCCATAGGCTCCCTAGTAGTTCCTTTTTGGGGTTACCTTATAGGATTCTAAATATGAACCATAAAAAGGAACTACTTAGGAGCCTATGGGTAGAGGCAACATGCATGAATTTCGAGCAGAATCCAGAAGCCGGCCTTGACAGCAAGATGCAGTGCCTTTTCAGGACTGAAAACCGTCCTACCTCATACCTATAAATGCTGGTACCCGGAGAGCCCAATACCCCTTAATTAAGGGCTATATACCTTAAATCCGAATATGAAGGCCCCAATAATTTAAGGTACATACGGACAACTTGCGTACATCATCCCGTTTACTAGAATCCCGAAAACCGAAATGCTAGGTGCTCAGCTGCCTAAAACATCAAAGTCGTCTCTTGATACCCCAAAAAGGCGCGATTTCCATTCTCGCGCAGCTGCGGAGAGTAGGAATTCTTATAAAGCCCTTATTTTACGAACCCTTTCAGAACACTTAAAGACCCGTATATTCCTACCCTAAACCCTAAACCCCTAAAGAAACCCTAAACCTTGCTTAAAACTCTTGTAAAGCCCTAAGTCCCAGCTGCGGAGAATAGGGATCACCAAGCTCTGAAGCCATTCTCGCCGCTTGCCTTCGGCCTGCGCGTTCTGCTGAGAGCCTGGGCGTTTTGGTGTGCTTCTTGGTCCTATAGAACTCCCTAAACCCTAAACCCCAAACCCTAAATGGTCCTATACGACTGACTCCCTAAACCCCAAACCCTAAGTGGTCCTATACAACTCCCTAAACCCTAAACCGCAAATGGTCCTATAGAACTCCCCAAACCCTAAACCCCAAACCCTAAAT